AGGGAGTTCCAGGACAGCTGGAGCTACAGGGAGACCGTCTCAAAACGACCAAACAAACAACAAAAAAAAGTGATTTCAGTGTCTTTTCACGCTCTCCCGAAAGTTTTTTTTTTAATGTGTATGTGTGTATTACCTGCATGTGTGTAAGTGCACGCATGTCGTGCAATGCCAGGGGAGGTCAGAAGAGGGTTTTGGAGCCTCTGGAACTGGAGGTAGGGTAGGTTGTTAGCCGCCATGTGGGTGCTGGGAATGCAACCCGGGACTACTGGAAGGGTAGCCAGTGCTCTTAACTGCTGACCCATCTCTCCAGCGCCCCCCCCACACACAAACTTTTATATAAATTGAATGAACTGAAAAGCATGAGCATTGGCCTAGCATGTGTGAGGCCATGGGATCAGAGCCTCAGAAAAAAAGTTAACAGATTGTTGGGGGATGGGGGATGGCAGGAAGGTTCCCCCCCAGGTATATGAGCACTCTGTATTCTAAACTCAATTTTGCTGTGAACTTAAATTATCTCAGCGTATTTTCAATTAGAAATAAGCAAAGTTTTAGATTCAGAAGTCACGTTTTTACACTCTTCCCAGGAAACTAAGGATGTGGATATGCAAACATTTAGCTACAACGGTATTTCTAAAATCCAGCTCTGTTGGTTGGAGGATTGGCCTAGTGGTCGGACATTGCCTAGTATGGCCCTGGATTCAATCTCCAGTACTGCCTCCACCCAAATAGCTATCTTACTATTTCTTAGAGAACCCCTAAAATGTCTGTAATTGCCCTTGGCAATTGCACCATCTTCTTTGAAGATGAGAGTCAAGTGGATGAAGAAGCAAATGGGAAGGCTGAGGAGAAAGATGAGGCAAGGTCCAAACAAACTAGCTTGTGGCCTGTGGACACTGCAGGAGCAGAAACAAGAAATGCTGGAGCCTGGGACCAACTGTTGGACTGTGTGCTACCAGCGGTAATTTGTCACAGTGGATCTGGAACTTCACCATCTGATGGATACTTCCTCTGAGGCAGCCTTGCTTACAACCCAAATAGTCGCTTTTGGTGGTCTTCCCTGGGCCTGTGGCATTCTTGACTGGTTCTTTTCTCATTTGTAGCCACATGTAACATGTGCACAAATGATAATCTCTTTTGCTGTCTCAGCTGAGGAATTTTCTTAAAGTCATAAATATATATTTGCTATCTGATAGACTTACAGACTCTATAAGGTCAGTATCATCTGATTTGTTCATTTAAGCATCCTCACTGTGCCTATTGCACAATAAGCTATCAAAATGTTTTCTGTTTATTAGAGAATGTCAGACTTCAACACTGAAACTGCCCCCCCCCATTAACGAATTAAAAAGAAAGTTATTTTCTTCCATTGAACTTGCATTTCTAGGCAGATGTCCTAGTTAGCTTTGACTATCATCTTGACACAGCCTGGAGTCACCTGACAAGGGAGTCTCAATTGAGGGATTTCCCAGATCAGATTGGCCAGTGGGTATGTCTGTGGGGAATTGTCTTCATTGTCAATTGATGCAGGAGGGCCCAGCCCACCGTGGGTGGCACCATTCCCTGGGCAGGTGGTCCTGGGCTGTGTAAGAAAGTGAGCTAAACAAAAGCCAATGAGTAAGCCAGCAAGCAGCATTTCTCCATGGTTTCTGCTTCAAGTTCCTGCTTGAGTTCCTGCCCTGATTCCTCCCCAAGGATGGACTATGACCTGGAAACGTAAGTCAAATAAACCCTTTCCACCCCTAAACTGCTTTTGGTCAGAGTGTTTTATTACGGCAACAGAAATCAAAGTAGAACACATGGTAATGCACTCCTGTAATCCCAGTACTTTGGATGCAGAGGCAGATGTGGAAGGCACACCACAAGTTTGAGGCTCGCATGCTAGGGCTACATAACAAAGCCCTGTCTCAACAACAAACAAAACGAAAAAACAAAACCGCCTTGCACTTCTTATGGCTCAGTGAATGGCAGCACCAGCCAGCCAGCCACAGGTCTATATCCTGCATTTTGGGAATATTTTATTATGAAGAATTTCACAAAGCTTAATTTTTCATTTTTTTCAATTATTTATATATATTATTTCAATTATATATATTATTTATATATTATTTATATTTTATTCTTATATTTAACCTTGGAAAGAACTCAGAGCAAGGTAGGGATTCAAAAACATCTGGGTTTTACTTAAGGTGTTTGAATTGAAAGGCTTACAGGGTTAAAGCTAGCCATACCCAGCCCAACACTGACCAAAGCCTCAGGTCTGCGTTGAGGTGCCAGTCACACGGACTGGGAACTGGCTTCTTCATTCAACAGCTGGCCTAGTTCCAGGGACTGCATGGCTTCCTCAAGCTTGATCATTCCTCAGTCTAGGCGCTGGTGAATCCTCTCAGCCATGGACTGCAGCATCCATCTGGTCTGAAGCTTGTACAAGTAGTTGCCATAAACCATAACTTCTGTGAGGTCAGAAGCTTCTAGAGGCTTCAGCTCCAGCCTAGTCTTGCTCACTTGTTCCATGTTAGGGATTCAAGATTCCTTCAGGCTGGACTGGACTTGGAATACCTCTGGATCTTTCAGGTCTTCGAGAACTATCACCTATGGTGGGATATTTGTGTGGGTTGGGAGTAATTCCATATCAGTCCCTTGAAACCAACCTCTTTCCAGGGCAGACTAGGTTCCCAGCGCCTGCACTGCTCATTTTTAATTATTTTAAATTTTATGTGTATGAATGTTTTGCCTGAATTATGTTTAAGTGCTCCATGTGCATGTGGTGCCAGAGGAGGGTAGACAAAGGCATTGGATCCTCTGGAACTGGATATAGTTGGTAACCACCATGTAGGTGCTGGGAACCAAACCTGGGTCCTCTGTATGAGCAGCCAGTGTTCTTAACTGCTGAATCATCTCTCCAGCCCTTGTTTTTGTTTTGATTTGTTTTTGAGTTTTTTTAACTTAATTTTTATATGTGTGAGTGTTTTGCCTGTATGTATGTAAGTACACTCATGCATGCAGTGCCCATAGAGGTCCAAAGAAGGTGCTGGGTTCCCTGGAACTGGAGTTTCAGACTATTGTTAGCTGCCATGTGGATGCTGGGAACTGAACCTGGGTCCTCTGTAAAAGCAGCCAGTGTTCTTAACTGCTGAGCCATTTCTCAGCCCCTGGTTTTGGTTTTTTTGAGACAGGGTCTCACTAGCTGGTCTGGAGCTCCGTATGTAGTCTACGCTGACCTTGAATTTTCAGACATCTGCTGGCCTCCGCCCTTCCCCTAGTACTCCACCACATTTGAATTGTGTCTGTTTGTTTATTTATTTATTTACTTTATTTATGTATGAGTGCTTTGCACTGCATGTAAGTGTACCATGTGCATGCAATGCCCACAGAATCAGAAGTTGGTGGCAGATTTACTGGAACTGGAGTTAAGGACAGTTGTTAACTGCCATGTGAATGCCAGGAACTGAATGTGTGTCCCCTGCAAGAGCTGCCGCTGCTGAACCATGTCACTAGTTTTTGCTTTTCTGGTTTTGCTGGTTTTGCTTTTCTGAGACAGGGTTTCATGTAGCTAAGGCTGGCCTTAAACTCCCAATTTTACTGCGTTTGCCTCCCAGGGGCTGGGATCACAGATCTATGCCACCAAGCCCTGGTGCAAAATTTCCATTTGTCAAGGTCATAGCAACTGTCTATCTTGAATGTCAAATACATGTATAGTTGCTCATAAGGAGACACTTAGGGCTCACAGTTACTATCTTGGTTATTTTCCCCATTGCTGTGATAAAATAGCCTGACAAAAAGGCCCCATCTCATATTTGTTGATATGCTGAGGCTGGCTTTGAACTCCAAGGCTGAAGCAATCCTTCTGCCTCAGTCACCTGAACAGCTGGGAACATCGGCGGGGTGTGGGGGCATACGACCACACCTCTGCCTTCTTTTTATGTTCTAAGACCTGCCCTTATGTATACATTTAATTTATAGCTTAGAACAAGTATGCAGTCTTTCTTTTCTTTTTTCTTTCTTTCTTTTTTGGCAGATTAGCTGTGTAGCCTAGGC